ATAAGGGGCAACGAGAGGATTCTTAAAGGCCAAAGAACCCCATAATTTGGAAGGAGGGGTGACGGTTATTGTGAAAGCTGAGATGACACCAGTGATGTAGTGGAGCCGGAGTTCACAGGATAGAAGCCCCAGGATTTTCTAAGGAGCGTGCTTTACAACATCGTGTTCCACCTAGTTTGGGCGCCTTTGTTCCATCTGAGTTTACGTGCAATCATCATAATAATAGGGGAAAGAACTTCCCCCCCACGCCAGGATTTTTTCACAAGCTATTGTAACTCAGAACATAGTAATATTTTGGGGTCTGGAATGGGCAGTTAAGAGCCACCAGCCTTACAAAAGACCTGTTTCCGGTGGAAACTGTTCGAACTCGTCTGCTGATATGAATTGATATAGATGATGCGTTTTTGAGTTCTCCTTGGAGGTGCCTGGTTTCCTACACTACAGGACGATTGAAGACGGGTTTTCTAAATTTACGACGGCACCACTTGAGAAAGGCAGGAGATCTGTAGCTTTCTGGATGCAAGCCACATCGGCCCCACCAGAAGGACCGGCCACTGGTGTGAGTTAGTAATTCGACATTTTGAAGGCGACAAGCTTCTCAGCCCTGCGGTTCAAAAAAGGCAGTGCTTTTCCACGACGGGACCGGGCACTTGAAAGCTTTTTCATGCCACCGATGGGTTTTCCCCAACCTGCAGATCTCGGGGAAAGGACCTGAACGAACAGATTCAAATGACAATAAATGAGATTCTGGTGCTTTCTATGATCCTAAATCTTCCTCTCTCCATCTGAAATTCAGCAGCTGTTTGGGGAGATCTGATGAGGTCTCCGGAGGGGAGGCTTCTTGATGGCTGCTCCCAAGCTCTCGGCTGAAGGAAATCTGGCTGCTCCTCATCTCCAGTCAAAGATACCGACTCCAGTATTTGCTTTGGGTAACTCACTGCCACAAAGGTTGCTCGTTTTAACAAATGAGCTGGGGTTTTTTTAAATGGCAATTATTTTCTTTTGAAATGTTTTAAAATTGCTTTTAATTCAGTTGTGTTTTAGTCTCATAAAACGGTTCAATTGTGTTTAAATACTTATTAATTTGCTGTTCCTTATTTATGTTTCTTTGATTATACTGCATCCTTGCCTTGGGTCTCAGTTGCGAGAACCAAGCAGAAAACCCATCCAAGGAGGATGAACAAGGTGAAGTTTCATCCGGAGAAGACAGAGAGGATTCTGGTCAACCAAAAGGGAAATCAAGGAACAGGGGGTCAACTCGTGCTAAATGCAGGTATATTCTGGCCCAAACGCTGCTCACAGGGATCACGTAACACCCCCCCTCCCCGTTACAGCAGCACCAGTGGCTGCCAATCCGTTTCCAGGCACAATTCAAAATGTTGATTTCAACTTATAAAGCTCGAAATGGCTTGGGTCCAAGTTATCTCAATTCCCGCGTCTCCCTTATGAGCCTGACCAGGTTTTGAGATCATCTGGAGAGGCCTTCCTCTCGGTCCTACCAACTTCACAGGTACATTTAGTGGGGACAGTAGAAAGGGCCTTCTTTGTGGCTGCTCCTTTAGACTGTGGAACTCCCTCCCACTGGAGGCCAGCCTGGCCCCATTTTGGCCGTCCTTCCACAACCAGGCAAAGACCTTTCTCTTCAGGCGAGCTTTCCTTCACTGACAGAAAACTGCCAGAGCAGGGTTTCTTAAATGTACTGTGGTACCTTACTGCTTTGAATCCGTTTTAACGTTGGTTGTGGTTTTTTTTGTATAATATTTGATTTTTTTTTAGTACTATACTCAGTGTTGTTAGCTTTAACATCGTCTTTATATTTATAATAAGTAAGCCGCCTTGGATGCTCTTAAGGAGGAAAGCGGACTACTAAATATATTTTAAACAAATGAATATCATAAAAGATCTGGTTCGTAGCTTGTGTTTAATCCTAGAATCATCTCGCTGCCAGGATGCTTGGTCTCGCCAGTGGCCAGGAGTCCATCAGCATGGATAACAGGAGTTTAGCCATTTCTGTCGATGTTGGACATAGCCAAGTATCACGATACTCTCTAAGCAAGACTGCTTTTGATGGGTGCTCAGGAACTTCAGATGGACCTTGACTCGGGCCACTTATAGGGAGCATATAGGTCCCCATTCTGACAGCTTAACTGACCCTCAGCATCTGTCCAGGCACAATTCAAAATGCTGGTTATGACTTTGGATGCTCTGTACAAGGTGGGTCCAGAAAATCTCAAAGGCTGCACGCTCCCATACAAGCCTGCCTGGGGGGCTGAGATCCGCTGGATTAGCCATTCTCCCAGAGCACAACCTTTGGTAGTGATGTAAGAGAGGATCTTCTCTCTTGCTGATCCCAGGATCTGGAACTCCTTGCCAAGATTTGCCCCCCACCCTACAATTCTTCTACTTGCATGCAAAAACCTCTTTATTTAGGCAGGCCTTCAGCAATTCAAAGCCTTCCAAAGCCAGCAGGCTTTAGCCGATATACTGGTTTTCTCATGCTTTTCTTAAAGTGTTCTGAATTTTAAAGTATTCTAAATTTAATTGCATTTTGATAATGAGTTTATTTCTATTTTAATATTTACAACTCCTTGTACTTCAGCTAGAGATGAGCACAAAATCTGGTTTGGTGGTTCGTGCCAGTTCGTACACGTAGCACCTTCCCCCACCTCCCTGCCTGGATTCCCCCCTCCACTCACCAGCCAGCGTACACTCCTCTCTTCCTCCCTCCTCTCCAGCTGTTCAACCAGTGCCTGGCAGGAGCACGGGCTTCCCTGCCCCGCCTCTTTGGCTGATCGTCCAATCAGACAAGGAGGCGGGACAAGCAAATCCGTGCTCCTGCCAGGGACTGGTCGAACAGCCAAAGAGGAGGAGAAGAGTGGGTCATTGGCGGAAGAGGCGGGGAAAGTGCCATGCGTACGAACCGGGTCAAACCTCCGAACTGTGGTTTGTGCCCATCTCAAATTTCAGCTTCTACTTATGGCACACCTACGAATGAGTGCCCCCTCCAAATGTCCTAACAGTAGTGACAAATAAAATAAACTAACTCAACTTTCCAGTAGTAGGCATCCATCAGTCTCGAGAGACTGTATGGAGGTCTTGGAACAGCGTCTAGCGTGGCTGAGAAGGCCAATTCGAGAGTGACCGTCCCTTCCACCCTGAAGACAAACACCATCTGTCCCCTGGCCAGGTCCCTGGTTTTGCTGCTTTTGGGACAGCCTCTTTGCCTCGGCCTGCTGGACAAGGATCTCTTCGAATTGGGAGAGGCCGTGATGCACTGCCTGCCTCCAGGCTGAACGCTCAGAGGTCAAGGTTTCCCATCTGTTGAGGTCCATTCCTAAGGCCTTCAGATCCCATGTGCGGATCTCCTTGTTTCGCGGTTGGGGTCTCCCTCTGGGCTGCTTTCCCTGCACTCATTCTCCATACAGGATATCTTTTGGATTCCGACCGTCAGCCATTCTCACGACATGCCCAAGCCAACGTAGATGTCGCTGTTTCAGTAATGTATACATGCTAAAAATTCCAGCTCGATCTAAGGCTACTCTGTTTGGGACTTAGTCCTGCCAAGTGATACCAAAAATGCGTCGGAGGCAACGCATATGGAATGTGTTCAGCTTCCTCTCCTGCCATGCACAACGGGTCCAGGACTCACTGCAGTACAGGAGTGTGCTCAGGACACAGGCTCTATAGACCTGGAGCTTTGTCTATGCCGTCAGCTTATTAAGCCCTACTCTTTTTGTGAGTCTAGAGAACATGGGAGCTGCTTTGCCAATGCGTTTATCCACCTCAATATCTAGAGAGAGAGTGTCAGAGATGGTTGAGCCAAGGTACACAAATTCATGAACAACCTCCAATTCTTGCGTGGAGATAGTAATAGAGGGAGGTGAGTCCACGCCCTGGCCCATGACTTGTGTTTTCTTCAGGCTGATTGTTAGTCCAAAGTCTCGGCAGGCCTTGCTAAAATGAACCATGCATTGTTGGAGGTCTTTAGCAGAGTGGACAAAAATGGCTGCATCAACTTTCCAGAGGGGTGGCATATTTTGAGTGCAAGAAGGTTTCGAGGGCCAGCAGTAGAAGCCCTGCCAGAACAGGCTTAGAAACCTGCCAACATAGCTTTACAACCTTTTTTTCAAGGACCCTTGCAAGTGGCCCGTGCAGTTCGCCCATCTATTCCCACACTCAAAACTGTTTTATAGCGAATATTGATACTATCAAGACAGCAAATTCACATTTTATTCTGCATGTAAATAAACTATACAAAAATGTTTCCTTTTTTTTCTTTTTTTGCCCAAAAATATCAGCAGAAAAATCTCCATATGACTTTGACAAAAAAAGAAACAAACACACCATCTCTCTCATTTGCTCTTCTGACATTAGGTTTACAGTTCAATTCCTACCCTGCAGACAGGGCAGTACAAACGTACATACAGGTCTGACTGAACATAGTTATAGACGCTCCTGGAGTATAGGCTTTTTTTTAATATAAACAAGATAGCTTAATTTCTGAAAGCACTCATCCATTCATAAAAACATGAGACTTTTAAAACGGCTACCAGGGTGCAATCCAACAAAAGATAAAACAGAAAGCCCGGCTCAAGGAAGCTGAAATGAAGATGACTATATATTGACAAACACTTCCCTTTGCCAAAGCCATGTGAGCTTTCTGAAATATCCCATAGAAGTTTCTCCATTCAGACATGAACTTAATTAATTCTAGGCCAAGGAAGCAGCTGAACACAGCACTCAAAATAATAAAAATGACCTTTTGGGATTACAGATCTCAGGGACTTCCAGCCAGCATTAGGTCAGGGTGGATAAAAATCAATGGTTTTTATTTTATTTTTTTAAAAAAATCAAATTCATTTAAATAACATTTTTTTAATTTAAATCGTTCTAAAAATGATTTTTTTCAATGGTTTTTATTTTATTTTTTTAAAAAATCAAATTCATTTAAATAACTTTTTTTTAATTTAAATCGTTCTAAAAATTATTTTTTTAAAAAAAAAAAAAACTTAAATCCTGATTTAAATTGTGATTTAAATCAACTTGGTTTAAATCAAATCCACCCTGGTAGGGTTCTGAGAATTATAGTCGAAAAATGTTAACTTTTTCAAGCTTGGCTCCTGACCGACAAATATACAACTCAGTGCACGGCTTAGGTCAACCTTCAAAATAATTCCAGTCATTCACATAAATCCGTAAGGTTTACAAAAGGTTTTCCTGCATGAGAGAACATTATAATCAGAAAGCAGAAACAACCAACCCGTTGTGTTTTGTTTTTCTGCTACCTTTCAAAAAATAAGTCTTTGCCGGTTGTGGAGCACAGATAGGGCAGTGCCGACAAATATTGGTGGCCACAGTTGATTTCATCTTCTCAAAGGGACAAAATCAATTTTTTATTTCATTGGATGAGATGATAGGAAGGAGAGAGAGAGAAAAAAATAAATCGGAACTGATCCGATTTAAGAAAACTGAGCTGGGGGGGGGTCAACAGCTCATGCCCCGTTGAAAGACACAGGCCTGAAATGGAAGAATGTTTGCACCGATTAATTATGCCTCTAAGTTTGGAGCACCTCACCCTTTTTTTTAAAAAAAGGAAAAGCAAAGGACCCAGAACGGAGAAGTGTCTGTTTGCTCTTCCCTCTCCATTCTGCTAAGTCCCTTCCGTCGCTTCGGAAGTATTAGAAGGAGGGAAGTCGTCCGGATACTCGGCTTTCTCCGGGTAGAGTTTGATGTAGGTGTCCACCATTAAATCCAAGTCATGCTTGATATCAAAGTTGATGTTGAGCAAGGCCAGGTTGCTTGACCTCTGCTCGGTCAACGTGTTCTTCAGGTAGGCCTTCAAGCGCCGTCGGCCGACCTCAAACTTCTCGTTCTCCACCTTCATCACGGGAAGGATGCACAGCACCTTAAGCAAGGCGTAGACGTTGGGGAAAAACTTGATGTCGGGCAAATGAAGCGTCTCGTAAATGGTGGTGGGGAGCTCAATGTCCTTCCCCCGGTGCTTCCACTTGATTCGCCAGCAATGAAGTTCGGCCGAAAGGGTGTCGGGGTTGGTGAGGTCGTTTTTGTACATATCGGCGTGATGCTCCTCGGAGGTATTAAATTTCAGCTGCCCCATGACCGAGGGCACTAAAGACAAGCACTTCAACGCTCTCACGTGCTGCTCCGAGAATATGTCTTTCAGTTCCTGAATGATGTGCTCCACGGTGGGGATGCTAAGGGCTTCCTTGTAATAGTTTTCCGGCGTTATTTCGGAGTCCGTGTTGCCTTGCTGGGCTCGGCAAAATTTCCCAGGGAGTTTCACGGGGAGGTCCAGCTTCATGGCCAGGTTCGTGGCCTCCTCGAACCAGAACTCGTGGTAGACCTCAATGTTGTCCATCACCTCGTTCAAGGAATGCAACACGGCCGTTAAGCTGCTGGCGGCGAAGAAGACGTCCGACGTTTGGCCCTGGAGGTTCTTCCCGAAGGCCCGCGTGAAGGAGAGGATGTTCTTGATGATCACCACAGTGACGACGAAGTCGAAACTTGCCAGCACGGTGGAAAGTATGTAGGCCTGGCCAGCCACGGAGCTGTTCCACCTCACCGAGGTGTCGTTGATGCTGTCCAGGCATAACACGAAGGCCTGGAGGAGGTCCGCCGCAATCTCAAAAGTATCATGCCGGGAGGTCCACTGGGAGCGGACGATTTCTTTCAACTCCTTCCCTTTCTCCTCGCTGTTCTGGAAGAGAAGAGAGATGACACTGTCCAGATCTGACAGCAACTGGGGGGAGTGCTGGAAGAACGAGCAAACTTCCTCAATGGTCCCGAGAGCTAAAGAGACGCCCAGAACCGGAATGGATTTAGCGAGCCATATATTTAAGGCACAGGAAGCCGACAACGTATACACCGCTTGTGGATATTTTTCTAAGATCCTGGTGGCCACCGTCTTCATTTTGGAAGCAAAGCCGCTGGAGACGACGTAGGCCTGGCCTCGGCAATACTCCATGTTCAAGCCCCATTTCTCAGTGATGGTGGTATGAAACTTCACGGCCAGGACTTCCGGGTCTCCTTCGTAGGGTAAGAACCCGACGAAATCTTCTCTGAGGTTGTGACACTCATCCACGAACCTCACCAGCACCGGCAAATGTTCCTCGCCCGCGAGATCCACCAATTCTTCCGTGACGATGGAGAAGAAGTGGGAATCCCGGACTTCCCGGAGGGTCTCTTCCCGCACGCAGGTTTCGCAGATCTCCAGCATCTGCTTCTGCTGCGCCTTCGAGCAATACGCCAGGTTCACGGCCATGGTCTCAAACCGCTTCCGCAAAACCTCGTCTCCGGAATTGATCCTGAATTCCAGGAGAGACTGGAAGTTGTCCGGCGTGAAGATGCCTTCGGGAAGCTCGTCGGCCCTGTGGCCGTCCAAAGGAATGTTCTGTTTCCCCATCAGGATTAAAATTTCAAATAAAGATTTCAGGTAGTCTTTGTTTTCCCTCTCCTCTTGCGTCAAAGGGACCTCGTCGTCTGCCGGCTCGTCTCCACCTTCCTCGGAGGCTGGATTCGGGAGGTCGTTGTCCACCGATTCTGGGTGCATTTTCTCCTGTTCGAAAGCTTCGTCGACTAGGAGGAAAAGCATGGAAAAGCCCATTTAAGGACAGGAGTACCAACACACTGCTGTTAAGAATACTGATGGCCCCAAACCATTTTGGTAACTGATAACATTTGGCACAAACAGGTGTACAGTTGGACCCCCGTATCCACGGGGAATTGGTTCGAAGCCCGCCCCTTCACAGATAATGAAAAGCGCAATTAAAGCTCCCACAGTCTGCTGGACTCCCCTGTACCTGCACTTTTTATCTCGATGGGGCTTCTAAGAGCCGAGTTGAAATCTTCACTCGTTCCTCAACACTCTGAAGACTAAAGATGACCCTCTTTGAAGGGGCTGGCTGGAAGGCAGGGAGGTGGGAAACCTTACCAGAAAGTAGTTTGGCTTAGGTTAGCACCTCCTCTCCTGCCCTAGTCTGAGTTTACATGAACAATGCTCTGGAAGGAAGCTACCTTAAGCTGATGCAACTAGGAGAAATGGTGATGGCTTCCCTATATACCGTATTTTTCAGTGTATAAGACCCCCCCATGTATAAGACACCTCCCACTTTTCTAATCCAAAATTAAGAAATCTAAGTGGGGCTTAGCAAGTGTAGGAGAAAAGGGATCAAAGCGCTGCAGGATTGCTTTGATCCCTGCTTTCCCCTCCACTTGTTTTTGTTCTCTCCTCAGCTTACTTCCGTGTATAAGACAACCCTCAATTTTTAGTCTAAAGATTTTAGACGAAAGTATAGTCTTTCTATGCAAAACAGATGGCTTCCTTGATGTGCACAACATACAGTGCTTGGAAGGCTTGATCTCACAAGATCTGGACACCGATTCCAACTAAAGTCCCAGATGGACCTCTGACTCTTTCAAATGCTCTTTTTCACAGTCTGAAACAGAGAGCCTTAACACACATGCTAACCTCTCCTCCTGAAATCAAGAGCACTTGGCTGGACCCTGCTCAGCGTTCATAATCCAGGAGTAGTAAAAGCCCTTCTTCCTAGTATCTTACCCATTATTCTCCGTCCCACCCGACCCAGTATTAGGCGCTTTCAGAAAGGGAGGAATAAATCTCTAGTGAGAAGCTAGCCATCTCTGCAAGACCCTGGCCACTTACTTTTTTGCTGCTTCAGCATTCTTATTTCTTCTTCACTCTGGGGAAAGAAAGAAAGAACAGAAAAAACAAGACATAAGCCAGAAGTCTCCAAAACAAAAGGACTAAAATTATGAACGCAAGTCTTTTGAACCCAAGCTTCTAGTCAGCTGTGCCAAGATTAAGCCTTCAGACAGCCTGGAGGCACATGGCTGAGGATGATGAGCCATGCCCTAAAAGGAAGAGGTATGGTTTCTGCTAGCAGTAGAACATCAAGGTCCTCTCCCCTGGCTATGTCAGGCCTTGCCTTTCTGAAAACACCACCTAATCCAGAATGCTCTGAACTGTTAGGAACCCAGTAATATTAGGTCAAGCAAAACAGACTGCCTACTCCCTAATTTGGGTGGACATCAAAATCAGTAACAGGGAATCTCATGGGGACCACGATTCTTAACACCCCCTCGTAACTACCTTTCTCTGAGCTTCAAAAAGAAGGTGGAAGGGGAAGATTAAGAGGATACAAAGTGCTTGGCAGGCCTTTGGTCAAAAGGGTTGAATGATAAATTCCAAATTACTGGCTGAGAAGGGGTTAGAAACCACACCCTTTCCCCCTCCCCCCAACTTTGCAGACTGTATTTTATCCATCTAAGAAACAAACCCCATAATGGCCGACTGTATTTTATCCATCTAAGAAACAAACCTGCCACCCACAATGGCCGTGAGACTTTAATAAAAGCATATAATTTTGGAACTACCCACAAGAACTTGGTGCACAGCCTGAAGAAGATGAATCATTAGTGAAAGCTTGCTTTTGTTTCGTTTCGTTGCGATCTAGCGAAGGTGTCATCTACTTCTGCATTCCTATTACCCTTCTCTGGCAACCCCAATAGAAAGACACCCTCCTTGCACTTCAGGTGATCAGAGAAAGACGACACAGAAACCAAGAGGAGAAGATGGGCGTGTCCACTGGGCTGGGCAAAAGATCCAAACTTGTCCATCCTCAACATCTCCAAAGCTTTGGAGAAACCAGGTTAAACAAGAAACTGATACGCTTCTTGTATTCCCTTAGAGGTCAAACTAGCCCAAATTATACGTACTTTGGCCAAATGCCCAAGGAAGGCCACAGGAGGGTTCAGTGGTGATTGTAAGAACAGGCTACTAAGCCAAACCAAAGATTTGTGGAACCTCTGTGATTAATGACTGAGGAGACCCGTGGAAGGCTTGAACACCTAAAGTACCTACCATTACGTCCTTCATAAAATTCCAGGATCGAAGATTTCTCTACTCTTTTATAAGGGGCCAATCAACAATCTGTTTCATTGACCCCAAATTAAACCTACAGTGGTTCTTGACTGAGGAAGAAGCAAAACGTAGATACAGTACATCTGGATGCTGTGAAACTGCTGTGGGAGAGAATGTGGAGTTTCATACAGGAAGAGGGTTTGTCCTGGTATTGCACAACATCATACCTTCTGAGTATGAGCACTTTTATCATTAGCGGTAGCTTGGGACGCAATCTGCAGTTGCTTCAGTGTAGTATCTCAATCCAAATCAGACCTACCAGCTCTTTAATCCTTTTCCTGTGTCTGCTGTGAGGGTTGTTCAAATGGCTCGTGAGGTCAAAGATCGTTGGCACCGCGTTGTCTCGTAAAACGGTCCTGTACGGGCTCTGGAAAAGAAAAGGAAAGTTCTCCGTTGCGTGTTCTCTCCATCCTTGGTCAGCAGGTTTCTTTAAGTGGGGAGAAGCAAACCTAAGAGGAAAGGAATGGGTGGGGGTGGGGGTGCCAGAGGAGAATTTTGGAGACTAACTTATTATCCTGCACTTGAACTTGGGCAAATGGCAAACCGCCAAGACAGCACAGCATTAATCTTCCCCTTTAGATCTCAGCTTGGGTTTTTTTTCTTTTACAGAACTCTTTATCTGTCCAAGCAAAGCACGAGAAGTTAAATCGGAATTACGATTGCTCTGCACAGGGAAGGGCCCAAGTCACAGGAGAACACGTAGTCCATGAGGTGAAGCCTGCTGGGCACAAAATAAGCTACAGACGGCGGGCAGAAAGAACATTTCAACAAGGGTCTGGCTCTCGGGCAAGTGTTCTAAGCAACAGCGGTAAGCCTACAGGGGTTCAAGAGAAACGGGACGATTCCCCAACGGATCCACGTGTACGGTATAGGCACATCCAGTTCTTGGTGGAGTCTGCTTTGCTGCCACACAATGGACGTCACTGGGTGGGCCCCAAATGAGGCACTCCTTTACATAAATCACAAGAAGCCCTCAAACGCCACCATTCAATAATGCTTCACATCTGCACAACTGTGACGTTCATTGCAGTGGGTCAAGTTTGCTACTAAACTGGAATTTAAGTCAATTACAGTAAAGAGCAGAGCGGAAGAGGTGACCACGAAGAAGCCACGGTTCCTTGTTTTCCTCCTTCTGAGCCTCCCCTTGGACACGCCTGCTGCTGCAGACCAACGGGGCGATCTTATAGGTAGCCAGGGTGCCGTTGTCCACACAGCTCTAATGCCCTCAACAGATTCCCAATTAAAAAGTGAAAGGCTCCTAATGATCCTAATTGTAACCAGGATTACGACCAACACCGTTACAGTGGTGCCTCGCTTAACGAGTGCCTCACTCAATGATAAATTTGCATAACGATGGCCTTTGCTGGAAATTTTGCCGCCTCACCTAACAATGTTTCCTATGGGGGATTTTCGCATAACGATGTTTGGAACCTTGCTTCACTTAACGATGACAGTTTTAGGTCCCCTGTTTCCCTTAACGTTTTTTTTGACAGCCCTGTTTTCGCTATTTTAAAAATATTCTAAAATGTTTAAAAAATGTTTAAAATGCTTGGAATCGATAGTGCACCTAATAAAACCTTCGTTAAAGTAATTTGGCTTCGTTCTAAGTCTTTTTGAATTTTTGGTGATTTTTTTTCACCATTGAAATGTATTGAATAGGCTCCTATTGGAACGGATTAATCGGTTTTCAATGCATTCCTATGGGAAATGGTGTTTCGCTTTACGATGTTTTCACATAACGATGTTTTTAATGGAACCAATTAACATTGTTATGTGAGGCACCACTGTATTTCCATGATTCCTATTGTGACATGAACAATAACAATTTTTTTGTTGTTCCTGGAAGTTTCTACTCTGTGTGTCTTTTGGAGGGAGTGATCCCCGAAGACTTTTTGCACACGAAAAAGAAGATGAAAACCAGAAGTTCCCACCTAGGCATTGCCTGTTTATGTTCTTCTCTTTTTTTAAAAAAATGGCTGAACACGGCCACTTTCAAGCTCCTCCTCGTGCACAGAGGGAGATGGGGCTCAAATTTGACCCACAAGCCTGGCCCAACCCCAGTCTACATCATCCAATGAATGGTTTCCGTGGAGGACAAGAGAAGTACCCCAAGCAACAAATCAAGACCACAGTAGTTTTACGCTCCTCCCAAATCTTCTTTTTCCTTCCCTATTTCAAGATGACGAGCGAGGGTCATTGCTTGCCACCAGATTCCTCATGGAAAAACATTTAATTCTGAGAATTAGCAAGAGACGTGGATAATGACAATCATGTGAAAAATGGCACACACGAGCATTTTACTTTGGCTAAGCACAGGGACACACCTCCTGATGTCCAGCTTACTGGACAGCCACTGGATTTTTTCCCCTACCAACTTTCTCCGGTCCAGTCCTTCCTCTAGTTACCCCCAGCCATCTTCGAGAGTCGTTTTATCACTCAGCAAAGGTCTGACATTATTTTAAGGTGGCATGTTTCCTGCACCAGTGATTTCTCAGAGGGCTACGCAGGGCACTCAAAGCGTTAAGATAAAATCAAATGTCAAGCAAATGGTATCGATGGAAAGGCAGCTGCCTCTGCTGCGTGCATGGAACTTAATTCACTTGGCTCTTTACAGCATTTTTTAAAAAACAAGGAAGGCCATGAATGCAATTCAGTTTTAGAGACAGAATTTCTCCCAGCAGAGTATCAAGCAAAACTCTTTATTGAAATCTAGTATTTCCAATGGGAGGACCCCACCATCTCTTCCCTCCAGTATATGCCATGGTAGTTCCCCAGAACATCAATCTACGCCTGCATATTTTCATATTTGAATAACCTAGAGAGGCTTAAAAGCACAGAAACGAACAGGTTAGGCACACAAAGAAGAGGCAGTGGGCTGCAACCTACACAATCTGGTTCAGTGCAAAATCTGAGAGCTTAAATGCTGTCGTAGAAGAGCCAGGCAATTACCTACAGGCAATAAATCAAGTCACAGAAAAGCTCTTTATTTGACAAGACGCTCACTTTAAGGAATTCTCTTCCATATTTCACATGGAATAATAGTAAAGTTGGAAAAGATAGCAGTTTCCCATCAGCCCTCCTCCCCCCAAAAACAGCACTTTTAAGGTCAATTTCAAGCCTGCACCTCCTACCATAGACCACATAATGGGAATATGCAGGATTAAAATTGGCCTTAAATAGGCTTATTCCTGCAGATGAATAATGACCCCACGTGCAGTTTTCTGCATACCCATGTCTACATGCCTTGCTTTGGTTTGGAAATGAACCCTTAGGAAGATGTAGCACCAGAATGTAGCAGCGTGCCACAGATTTGGGAAGCAGGAGATACAGGCAGCACCCACCCCTCTTTTTTTTTTTTGTAATCAACAGAGATCATTACGAATGCTTCCTCCCACTTACACTTCTGCATATCATGGAGGTCTCAAAATGTTTCGCACACAGCCTGTAATGCTTGTTCAGTTGGTCCGGCGTCTTATCTTCCAGGTCGGCCCGTCGGCAGTTCTCTACCCACCGCTGGCATCTGCAAGAGACAGATTCTCCGCTAGTCAAAAGCTTTAAGAACAAACACCCCCAAAATGTGTGCTTGGGGGGGGGGAACATGATTGCTGGGAGCCCAATGTCAGAACACCCATCATCTTTTGGAGTGATCGACTGAGCCCTGGGGTGGGGGAGAGATCATTTGCTCCCGGAATGTGAACAATTCTGCCACGTTTTTCAGATCATCCAGGGTGGGTGGGCACTTAGCAGCATTTGCTCAGGTTTTGAGATCTGCAATTTCTCTGCTTGAGACCAGAGGCACAGTGAGGTCAGTGGCCCAGGCAGAAAGCCAGATAGCAAGGGGGTGATTTCTAATAGTATTTCATGCCCTCAATCTGGGCTGAGATGCATACCCTTTCCCCACCTATGGCAAGGCTATCAGATCTTATCTCATGCACTCCAAAAATCCACGTTTTGAGAATGCCACTTTTATGTAAAATAAAATAAAAAATTCTGGAGAAGAACTCAAGACTTAAGATCGCCAAATAAATTACTTCTTATAAGTCAATGCATGAAATTAGATCCACCGTTCACAGTCAGCAGCCTTAAAGAGAGAGAAAAAAGAAGAGGATACAAAGAGACACATCATTAAACCCTCACCCTACGGAGTGAAATGACTTTAATCTGATGATTACTCATTGTCTCAAATCATCGTTCAGCCTCCTGCGAGAAAGTGAAAAAGAATATTATCTCAAGAGAGAAAACTTCCTTGTTTTTATTAATGCTGATGAATATTTAACCCAGAGGCTGGAAGATGTCCTTAAAAACTAGGACACAGATGTGAAACCTTAATTGTTTCCTGGCTACTAAATAGCCCTCTAAAGGAACATTTATACGTTCTAAGTCAGGGATCAAGCAATGAAGATTATCAATATGGCTAGGTACTAGAAATAAATCAGAACCTATACAGGTGTATATATCTGGACTAAGCCTTTCAAATCCTATAGCCATATCATGAAGTCACAGTTATGATGTCACTTCTAGACTGCCAAGTTTTCATAACTTTAAATAACAAGCCTTACACATCAATAAGATATATTAAGGGTCTAATAAATATGAATGTATTAAGTGTCCCCTAAGATATCAGCTAAAAATCAGGTCTGTCCACCACATTTATCAGCAGCATATAAGCCTGACAACTAAGTATTATCTATTATCGTCTATTATCTGGAAGAACTATGGCAACGTGTTTTTTTTCAAAATCAACAAGAGGCAGATTTTTATACCATGATGAAATTCTACCCAAATAACTCAACCTGCAATTTATGACCGAAGAGTCTCTTGAAAAATATATTTAAATGGATTCAGACATTCCAGGAGAAAAGCCAAAATCATTTCCCCGTACAAGCCTCCCCATGTTTTAAGATTTCCAGAGAAGGCCCTTCCCTTGGGCTAGTGGGGAAGAGCCAAGGATAAATGGGGATTGCGCTTCTGTGAACGACACAACTGGGCTAACGCCAAAAGGAAATTCTAGTCGCCAATGCGCACGGAGGCAAAAGGAAAGTCCAACAGAACACAGGCAGGAAGAAGTGTGGAACAAAATTAAGTGAGATCACAATTATTGTAGTATCTGGGCTGAACCGACTAAAGCAGGACATTTTGTATCAGATAATTATAAAGTGTTTTACACTGGAAAGTCAGTGGAATCAGTATGAGTGTAAAAGCAAGGGGAGACATAGTGCATGCATTTGGGGGCTGTAATGTACAGTAAAGTTTGCATGAAGAATATCAGACTTCTTGGAAAACCTATTAGCATAACCATCAAGTCTATGTTCCAATCACAGTGACAGAAGAAAAAAAATTAAAAAATGCTTTTACACAAGTATCAAGGAGAAAACTGACTACACTCCACAATCATGGGTAACTGAGTTGCAAAAGAAACGAAGAACTACCAAGTATTGTCCAAGAAGCTGAACCAGGAGCTACCGTGTTTCCCCGAAAATAAGACAAGGTCTTTATATTAATTTTTGCTACAAAAAAGTGCATTGGGGCTTATTTTCAGGGGATGTTTTATTTTTTTCACCTACAACAATCTACATTTATTCAAAGGCAGTCACACCATCTTCTTGTTGCTGCACAAGCGTGGAGGGTGGGGTTTCACTTCACTGGGGCTTATTTTTGGGGTAGGGCTTCTATGACGAGCATCCTGAAAAATCACACTAGGGCTTATTTTCAGGGAAACAGGGTAGAAATGAAGCAGGAGAATAATTCACAGAATTCTCTGATGTCCACAATTTCTCTATTGAAATTGTTGCAGGCAGCCTACAGACAACTGTGCATGAAGGTGTCACCAGTCAACACAGAAACAAAATAGACTATCTATTTGGAAGTAGAAGATGTTTATTGGAGGAGACTGTAATATAAATGATGAGCAGCTAATATATAAAAAAAATTAAGAGTAAGGTTGAAGCATAATAGTAAAATAAGCGTAGGAACAGAATACAATTGCCTAGGAACAGGAGAAAATTGAAATAAAGTTATTGGAGAGTTTAAGAATGGCATAAGCCATAAGGAACAGAGTTACATTACTAAAACTAACTGATCACAAAGCACAAGAACTATGGATTGAAAGTAAAGGAATCATCAGGGAAGAATGTGAAAAAAATACTCCTGTAGTTAAAAAAAAATTGGCAGATAACAAACGTAGTCTTGAAACAGATAACAGTGGACGAGACGCAAAAAGTAAAGGTGAGATATAAAAAAAACACAGCAACAGAAATAGGGCCAGAATTTCAAATGCAGTGACTTGCACATGGAGACAGAGAGCTGTTATCATAATTATAGTAAAATTAAAGAGAAAGATAACAAGATAGCAGCAGCAGGAAGGAAGCAGGAGACCTCTTCCATTAAATGCAAGAAGTAATAATAAAAAAGAGTTTAAACTAAAACATGAAATGGTGAAAGCATATAGTGGCTGAAATCTCGTTACCTAGCATACTGGCCAAAATTCTTTTGCTTGATGTAATAAATCACACTGTAGTAGGCACGTTGAATCAATGGGAATTCTGTAAGTCAATGTGAAGACTGGAGGTGACAGCAAGGTCCCTCTCACGGGAGTGCTATCCCTCCCGCCTACCGCCGATAAAGCTCTTTTGCTTGATGTAATAAATCACACTGTCGTAGGCACGTTGAATCAATGGGAATTTTGTAAGTCAATGTGAAGACTGGAGGTGAGAGCAAGGTTCCTCTCACGGGAGTGCTGTCCCTCCCGCCTACCGTCGATAAAGCGAGCCAGAACCCGCCAATTCCCCCACCCAGGAAGACAAGACCGTCTGGACCAGACCCGGGGAAGATAGAGGAGGATTTGAAAGAATTAACAGTCAAGGAGACCGGGGCGGTTTTGGAAGGAGTGGAACGAAAAGCGCGGGTAGAAGTGGAAGCAGGACTCATCATCGTTTAGTCGTGTCCGACTCTTCGTGATCTCATGGACCAGAGCATGCCAGGCCCTCCTGTCTTCCACTGCCTCCCGGAGTTGGGTCAAATTCATGTTGGTCGCTTCGGTGACACTGTCCAATCATCTCGTCCTCTGTCGTCCCCTTCTCCTCTTGCCTTCACACTTTCCCAACATCAGGGTCTTTTCCAGGGAGTCTTCTCTTCTCAAGAGATGGCCAAAGGATTGGAGCCTCAGCTTCAGGATCTGTCCTTCCAATGAGCACTCAGGCTTGATTTCCTTCAAAAATGGATAAGTTTGTTCTCCTCGCAGTCCAGGGGCCTCTCAAGAGGCTCCTCCAGCACCACCATTCAAAAGCATCAATTCTTTGGTGGTCAACCTTCTTTATGGTCCAGCTCTCACTTCCATACATCGCTACTGGAAAAACCATAGCTTTGACTATGCGGACTTTTGTTGGCAAGGTGATGTCTCTGCTCTTTAAGATGCTGTCGAGGTTTGTCATTGCTTTCCTCCCAAGAAGCAGACGTCTTTTAATTTCGTGGCTGCTGTCTCCATCTGCAGTGATCACGGAGCCCAAGAAAGTGGAAGCAGGACTAGCACATATAAAAAGGGGGTGAAAGCGGGCTACCACCAGGGTGGGAGTGGATGTCAATAGAAGATCCCTGGACTGGAAAGGGGGAGAAGCTAAGGCTCCCCAAGGAGGAGGCGGATGCGAGGAGAAGACAAGAAAGCACCCCCCAAGAAAATCATACTGGGGTGAGAGGGAGACTGAAGAGTGGAGAAGGAAATTGAGGGAGGAGAAAGGGAAAGAGAACGGAGGGAGAGATTGGAATGGAGAATGCGGGACATGCAACGGACGGGACGATGGGATGACCCTGGCAGACGATCGATCCCACCCAAGAGCTTGCCTGGTGGACAACAGAAACGAGGACACAATCCCCTCATTGGATGGGGAGAACAGGCCATTATTAAACCTGGGTGCATCTCTGGACTGTCCGGGACCCTGGAATGTTCAAGAGAGAAACCTGTTCAAAGTTGATGAGTGGAAACCCCTGCCAGACCCGTTGTCCGGCAGGGAGAAGGGCTAGATCACATTTGCTGACATTGGATTCTTGTTCAATAACACAATCAACGTTACTCCGATTTCAAAGCCATGAAAGGCTGGCGATTTATTTGGGACTAATCAATATGCCGCCCACTCTACCCAAAGGTCAACGTTACTCCGATTTCAAAGGCTGGCGATTTATTTGGGACTAATCGGGAGCCAGGAATCGAACCCTCGCCGTCAACTCCTGCATATGTTTTGTGGAATTAAATTACAGTATCTTATCCTACTTGTGACTTGTCAACGCTGTAAGTTGCAACTAGAGTTGTTGCTAAGTGCCATCAAGTTATCTGTGACTTATGGCGATCCTACAATGGAGGTCCTCTTGTCCTCAACAGTCTTGCTCAGTTCTTGCAAACTCAACTTTGTGGCTTCCTTCAGGGAGTCAGTGCGTCTCGTATTGGGTCTTCCTCTTTTCCTGCTGCTTTCAGCTTTTCCCAGCCTTACTGTCTTTTCCAGAGAATCCTGCCTTCTCAGGAGGTGCCCAAAGTAGGAGAACCTCAGTTTCAACCCTTTTGCCTGCAGAGAGAGTTAAGGCTTGATTTGATCTAGGATCTACTGTTCCTTCTTTCTCGCAGTCCA